AACTCGTTCGTCAACGACATCTTCGAGCGCATCGCGGGCGAGGCGTCCCGCCTGGCGCATTACAACAAGCGCTCGACCATCACGTCGCGGGAGATCCAGACGGCCGTGCGCCTGCTGCTGCCCGGGGAGCTGGCCAAGCACGCCGTGTCCGAGGGCACCAAGGCCGTCACCAAGTACACCAGCTCCAAGTGAACTTGCCAAGTAAGCCCCTTGTGATCCCAACCCCAAAGGCTCTTTTCAGAGCCACGCATGCTTTCTCAGATGTATCCTACCAAGCTGAAAGCTAATTACGACCCTTAATTTTCAATTAGGGCTGAGAAGCATGTGCACGTTTCACGGTCAATTAAAATACCTACCAAAAATTGAGCGCTCACTACGAGCAAAAACCGGTTCTATACAATCATTATTACTTTGGTTTCACAAAACTAATAATTCTAAATGAAAATACCATTTGGAATGTAAAGCCCCCGTTTCCGTGTGCAGGCCTCCAAATTCATCGTGATATTTTTCAGGAACTTGGTAAGGATCACTTAACCGGGGCACAAAATGGCAGGCTCTGAAAACTTTGTTCTGCTCAGAGTTTTGCTTTTTCTTTTTAGCATGTAGATCTGTAATACTGAAAAAAGCCAAAGACAATATGAGCTTTCACAGAAATCTTACATAGGCTTTCCTGGTTTGCTACCTTTCCAATTGCTGCCCTTTCAGCTGGGGGGGCCAGGGGGCGCGGGTGGGAGGAGCACGGTGGGGGGCAGTCTGTGTTGTATGTGCTGTGTCCTAAAGGCACAGAGGGACAGGAAAGGGAGCCTGTCCTGTCTTAGAGAGGCCTTCATCCTGTCAGCTATTATACCTTCTCTCCTAGGAAGCTCTTTTCCATTTACACTCTTCTTCCGGCAGCATTTAGCTGCAAGGCCCTCTGGGTCACAAGAGAGAAGCCCACTACTCAATCCCGTAAGGTGTCTGACTGACTAGGCGAGAGTTACCCCAGGACTGAGGCCCCCTTCTCAGTACCAGGACTCTTTCCCCATGTCCCCAGGAGGCAAGGACTGAAAGGAGGGAGAAAGGGAAAGGAAGCCCTTCCTGGCAGGATGTGGCTTCTGCTATACATGAGAAACTTTCCTGGTGTAGCTGACAACCTGACCTGTTACATCCTCACAGTAGGATGAACTAGAAATGAACACACATGCGCACCCACCCCTACCCACACTCACCATAGAGGATTGCAACAAGAGTGCCCTGAGCCTCAGTGCTGAGCGAGGTAGATTCTGCCATGGAGAATTTGGGCTACAACTCACTTGTTTCTGCCATTAATATCACAGGGATTCAGAATACACCCAGGCTGAGAATTAATGTAGGGATATCCCAAGCTGGTGCCCCTGAGCACCTGGTAAATGCAAATACACATCCTCTGTGGAGGAATAAGCTTCATTTTTAGGTCTCAACAAATCCCCACAGATAAGATAACAAAAAAAAATGAATGAGCAGCTTCACAACCAAAATCAACACACAATTCAAAAAGACACTGTCACCAAGAATAAGAGAAGCACACGATGGAAACAAAAAGAGTGAAAAAGAAAATTAACAGATATTGATTTCAGATTGCTAACTTTAATATATTTAAAAAGAAAAAAAAGGACTATTTGAAATATGCTGAGGGACTAAGAATACAAAGAATTTTCCAAAAAGATTTGAGAGAACCAAATACAAATTCTAGAAATGAATGTATATAATTATAAGAAAATTAAAATTAGGGCACCTGGGTGGCTCAGTTGGTTAAGCGACTGCCTTCGGTTCAGGTCATGATCCTGGAGTCCCTGAATCGAGTCCCGCATCAGGCTCCCTGCTCGGCAGGGAGTCTGCTTCTTCCTCTGACCCTCCCCCCTCTCATGTGCTCTCTCTCATTCTCTCAAATAAATAAATAAATAAATAAATAAATAAATAAATAAATAAATAAATAAAAGAACATTAAAATTAAAGGCTTGCTGGATAGGCCAAATAGTCAATTGGCTCCAGATGGAGCAGACTTTATCCAAAATGCAGGGAGAGAGATGTAAAAGTGAATTTAAGAGACCTGGAATTACTAGTAAATTTGTCTGCCATATGTCTAATCATGATACCACAAAGATAACCAGAGAGAATGGTGCAGGTGTGAGCTTTCAAAGATCATGGCTGAGAATTTTTTAGAGTTGATGGAGTACTCATGTAATTAAAAATAAAATAGAGTGAAACTCATACAATAAAAGGGGGGGTCACTCTGTCACACTGTGAACTAATCCCCGTAAATTCTCACAACAAATGTAAGGCTGATTTTCACAAGGTTCTGCTTTCTAATCAGTTCTGACAGATGACATCAGACTGAAGCACTTAAAAATTCTTGGGGGGAGGGAAGACAATTGAGAAATTGATTATTTACATGCACTTTATATCTATCTGATTACTAAAGTATGTCAGTTTAATCAATAGTTAATGGACTGTTGACTGGCTTTTTCAGTCCATTAAATCAAAAAGTTTGATATTCTTTCCAATATCTATTTCTGTTAATTACTCCCATCATGTTATTGTGTTAGCTGAAATCACAAACTGTTTGCCATGTTAGCTCTGCTAGCAGGCATCACAGTCTTTTTCTTCCTTCTCATTGAAGTGGCTTTGGTTGTTCATGCCTCATGAAAAACTTGTTTGCGTGCAAATGTGTGTGAGTGTGTAATCTGTATGTGTTGATTAGTTTCCTTCTAAATATATTTTAAGAGTTTTTATTAGGAATGATACGTGAATTTTTGGCATTTGATGGAATCATGTGCTTTTCCTCCTTTATCCTGCTGCAATGAAGTGTAGGTAGATTTCCTAATGTTACTCCATACTTGCATTCCCAGGCCAAATCTTATTTGGTCATGTTGTATTATTATCCTAAATACTGGCTGCACACATTTTAATATGTCAGAGGGATTTTTCCTCCTCTATTCATACATAAAATCATTCTGTGATTTTTTCTTTGGGGTTCATCCATATAGATGGTGTCATTAAGATTATGGTAACTTCAAAAATCTTAACTATGGCCTCTCCTCTATTATCTACTGCTATGTAACAAACTACCTAAAAACTCGGCAGCTTAAATCAACAAACATTTGTTATCTCATTTTGTTTCTGGGTTGTCAGGAATCCAGAAGTGACTTGCGGGGAGGTTCTGGCCACGGTCTCTCAGGTTGAAGTCAAGATGTAAACATGGGCTGCAGTCACCTGAAGGCTTGACTGTGACTGGAGGGTTCCCTTCCAAAGTTGGCTCACTCCCATGCTACCCACGTTCCTGTCGGCTCTTGGCAGGAGGACCTTAGTAGGACCTCCATGCCTTGCCACATAGACCTCTCAGGAGGGCTAACTGACTCTCTCCCACAAAGACAAATCATAGAGAGAGTGGGGGAGGAATTAGCCACAAAGTCTCTGAGACCTAGTTTCAAATGTCACATGCTGTCACTTCTGCCACTTTCTATTAATTAGAAGCAAGTCACTTAAATGTGGCATATATTCAGAAGGGTAACAAGGCTCCATCCTTCAAGGTAAGGATAGTACATTTGTGAACATATTGCAAAATCACCATATCATCTTTTTTATGCTTTAAATACTTGATTGTAGAAAGTGTGCTTTAAAGAGTAGACAGAAATCAGCTGTATAATCACCTGGACCTAATACTTTTATACATGGTAGCTTGTTCAGAATTCCAGGAAATTAGACTGCAATTGACCACTATCCACAGAGACAAAAACCAATAAAACTCCCACATGATGTCCTGATGGACTTTTCCCTGAGATTGTAAGGAAGCAAACAGTGGTCTCTGCAGTTACATAAAACCAGCACATTGCAGGTACTTACAGAAAATACTGAATGAATCGAATCAATTCATCCGAGAGCTCCTAACCAGCCACCTGTACAGTGAATCTCTGGTTCATGATGGTTGTAGGAATGTCCCACAAAATGGATAGGTATGAAAAAAAAAAACTAAAAGTGAAAATAAATACAATAAAAAGGAAAAACCCCAGAAAATACTTTGGCTTATGAAAATATAAGAAATTAACAATATGGAAAAACACAAATTAATAAAATGTACAATTGGACAAGAAGCTAAAGCTAAATTAATAGATTTCAAAGGTAGAATTTGAATTGATGATTGAGTCAGACTTAAAAATAACCTACCATATTTAAAGTGTAAGGTAACAGATTAAGAGGTAGCAAAAGGACATAAAAGAAGAAATTAAAGAGCATAATTTCGTCATGACAGCTTATAAGGAGATCCTTGACATGTGTCAAAATTCCTTGCTCAAGGGGCGCCTGGGTGGCTCAGTCGTTAAGCGTCTGCCTTCGGCTCAGGTCATGATGCCAGGGTCCTGGGATCGAGCCCCGCATCGGGCTCCCTGCTCCACCGGAAGCCTGCTTCTCCCTCTCCCATTCCCCCTGCTTGTATTCCCTCTCTCGCTGTGTCTTTCTCTGTCAAATAAATAAATAAATAAATTCCTTGCATAATTGTACCATGGCAATAGTTCAGAGTATTTCTTATAAATCAATCATTCAAGAAGTGGTCATTGAATATCTTTGGGCCAGACACAGGCGTGGGCATTAGAGATGCAGAGAGATGAGGTTGTTCTTGACCTGGAGCCCTCAGGTTTGTAGACCATCAAGGAAACTTACAGCTAATTGCTTGCTTTTTTTTGTTTGTTTTATTATCATTCACTAAGACCTAAAAAAATGTTTATCACTCTTTGGAAATCTGCTGGCAGATGAATAGACTTGGGCTCATATGGGACTACAAAATTAATTAAGTTAGGCAAAATATTCATCCAAATATGTGACTAATAAACAGAATACAGTAATACTAATACCATTGTGACATGGTGCAAAGTTAAGGAACAGTCCCATTAGACTGCCCTCATGTCTGACATCAACTGCAAAGTTGATGGGTCTCCAAAACCATCCTCAAATTTGGTAATTCTTTAGATGACTCACAGAATTCACTAAAAACTCACTATACCCAAGGTTGTGGTTTACTATATAAAAAAGATAGATTAAAAATAAGCCAAGGTAAGAGGCACATGAGCAGAGTCTCAGAGGTTTCCATCTCAGAGCTAACAGTAGTCCTTTCCCTTTGTGGGTGTGGGGAGTATTAATGCCTCCTGAAACACAACAAT